TTTATCATTTATTTCAAATGCAAGTGGCTAATTGTGCTGCTGACACAAGTGGACATAAAGCTGGAATTAAAATTGCAAAACTCTTTGAGATCACAGGATAGGGGAAGTGCTTGATGCTTGTTAGATTTCCTGTCTCACCTGCCCTAAATGTGGGGATGTGGAATTGCAGACTGAAGTTCTATTCCCAAAAACTGCCAGTGGATGTGAGTCCTTCCCTTGTGAAATCTGAAATGAAATGTTTTTACCTCCACAGTCCAGCCACAGTTTTAGCTGTGATTTTTATATTCATATCCAAGCAGGAACAAGCAAAATTTTAATATCCTCTCCCCCTCCAATATATTAGTTATGGAATTTTTTTCATCAAATGTTAAAAAGAAAAAAAAAAAGAGGAACTGAAAGGAATATTTTCCTTCAAGTAATGCTTCTGTGTTTAATCCAAGAACAACTCTGTTTCCCTCTACTGAAACCTTAATCTCTGTGGGTTTGCTTGGTGGTGTTTTCTGAGAGACTTTTTCAATAGATTCCATTAAAGCAATTGGAGAGAAAAGGGGCAAAAAAATTTGGAAACAAAGAAACATTTTTTTCACGTTTTAAAGAAAACCCTAATGTATAATAGCAATCTAATTTAAAAGGTCTTAAATAATTTGTTAAGGTGTGGAATGCTGAACCCAAATCCACCTGAGTTTACAGGTGGGGAAGATAGATGTGACATCATGTAACCCAGTGGAAAAGCTGCTTTTCATTCCCTGAGGAATTAATTTCCAGCAAACCCAGGACACAAATTAATCATTATTTAAGCAAACATTCATCTCTTTCCCCAGGAAAAGGCTCCACGTCCCAGGCTGATCCAACGTCTGAGCGCGTGGGTGGGAGCAGGTGTCCCTCCATCCCCAAAACCAGGCTCAGGAGGCTTCAGAAACACTTCACAAACCAGGCTGAGGAGGCTTCAGAAACACTTCACATTCCTGCTCCCCCGAGGAGCATCACACCCTTGGGGTCTCGCGTGTCCTCGACCTTGACACTCGGCGCAGCCCAGCCTCGCTTCCCAGCCTTTCAGCACCGCTCCTGCCTCTCACATTCCTGCTCCAGCCCGGCTCTCCTGCTGCCTCTTGACAGGAGGAGCCGTGGGGGCATCAGCTGGGAGGAAGTTGGGGGGGTGCCCGAGATTAGAGGCTATTTTGGAGCCCCACAATCTTCGGGACTGACCCTTTGGACAAACGCGCTGTTCCCGGGAGTGGCTGCGGAGCCTCGGCCTCACGAGTGTTCCTGCCCTCCCTGCTGAGCCCTGGGAGCGGGAAAGGCTTCTCTTTGCTTCCAGGGGTGATTTTCCCCTCCAGTTCTTACTGTGGCACAAGAATGGAGCATTTCCAGCCCATAGTGCCACCTCCACCACGAGCCAGATCACCAGGAAGGGCAAAGCGCGAACTCCCCAGAGCTGGGTGTGCTGGAGGGTTCAGTGCAGAGCCCTGGGCTTTCAATAACTGCATTTTCTCATGTATAACCTGCAAATTAACTGCAGAGATGGGCACCAGCTTCCCAGGAGTGAGGGCCAAGAGGCCTTTCTGTAGCTCAGCCTGCCTGATGACTCTTGGGGATGGGCCTGTGCAGGGTTGGAGTTGGTGATCCCTGTGGGTCCCTTCCAGCTCAGCATGTTCTGGGATTCTGTGGCTGATGCACCATATATTGCTAATGAAACTGGGTCATTGTTTATGCCAGAGATTTAATGAGGATTAACAAGTGATGCTTATTAATGTTCCCTCTCCAGCTACCTCAGGTAATCTACTCAGCATAGATGTTTTTGAGAGCAATTCCTCTCTAGGACGCTTTTTGTGCACGGAAATTGCAGTGCATGTGGGGAAAAAAAAGGACAAACCTCTTCCTTTTGGGGACATGAAATAAAGCCCCTGTGTTAAACAATTTAATTCAGAAAAAAAGTAATTACGTATGTGTTGAATCCATCAACCTGCAGCCCAAGGAAGCCTCTCTATCAGATGTACTCTCTGGGTATTCCTCATCTGGCACATCCCCAGCAGGGTCTAAATGGAATAAGTCAGGAAAAGCAGCAGAAACTGGTTTGTGTATAACCCTGCACCCCCTGCCCTCTGCTATTGTTCAGGGAGTTATCAAAATGACAGCGGAAATGCAAAGGCACTTGGAATGTCTGAGCAGGAATCGTTCCTAACGAGGCACTGCAGCAAGATGACACACTTGGAGGTTAGGAAATCAATGTCAGAGCACTGTGCTCACACTGCTTTTTACTTTACATGGTTATATCTGCAGGGTGTGAAGTTACAGATTCGCAGGAAATGTGTCTGGGCTGAGCAGGGCTCGGGGGGGTCCCAGGCAGCCTCTGCTGTCAGAGCTGCTTCTGTCACTGCTGCAAACCCAGGGAGCCAGGATTGCACAACAGGCTAAGTTTTAATTCCTAGGAAATGGGGGAGAACATAGGAAAGCTCCCCTGCCTCTAGAACTGTTCATCTGCACTAACAGAGTAACAGAGGGAAGAATTTCTCTCAGTGTCTGACGGAGTGCAGTCCCCAAAAAAGCCAGCATGTTCCCAGTGAGAGAGGAGACCCAGCTAAAAACCTGCTGAAGAAACCCTTTTAAAGTCAAGCCCTTCAGCTCTGAATGTCACAGAAAACCCCAACCCCTCGGGAAGGAGCCCTGTAGCACCACAGACCCCGGTGCAGCAGCTCTTCCAGTTTAATTCTGCAGTTCAATGGGATCTGCACAGTTATGTGAAATCGCTGCATTTCCAAAGTGATATTTGAACACTAAGAGGGAAACCATTTCTGCAGGTGACATCACTCTCAGGATGAACCTCCTAGCTGAACCCATCCCAAAGACTTCCCTTTACAGGAGCCACTGTTGTGCTGCATCAAAGAGTTAAGGCAGAGTCTGTTCTCAGGGTTATTGATGTTAATCTCACTTCCTCTGGCAGCAAAGCCCTCACCTGGGTGATGAATCTCCACCAAAAAGAGGACTGCGCTTTTCTCTCAAAGTTAATTAACAAAAGCCACCCAAACTACTCCAAAATTTCCCAGAGTTTTCCATTCTTAGCTCTGGAAAGCCACAATATGTGGAGATGGGCCTTTGATAAGGCTGCAGAGGATTTAAGATAAACTTGCACAGGTGACCACAAACGCCACAAGGAGGTCTAAATTCATCCTGCTAAGCTCAAATATCTACTTGCAGTGTGGTGTAGCAACAACAGGGACCTTGGTAACACACTTGGCTTCTGTTGTCAGGTTCCCTATGTTCAGAGGAGGAAAAGGTTAAAGTGCCACAACAAAATCTGGCTCCATGACATCAGCACTGCATGTGCTTGCCACGAAGGTATTAATTTTGTTATGTTTTTTAATTATATATTTGTTTTGTGTATTTTTTAATGAGTTTAAAATGCCATGGCAGTGTCTGGCTCCATGACACCAACACTGCACGTGATTTTAAGAAAGATATTTGTTTTATTTTTTAATTTATATTATTATATATATATTTATTCTACATTTATTTTTATTTATTCTATCCTATATCTTTACTATATCTTTATTTTATATTTATTTTGCCTATTTTATTTATTTTATCTATTTATACATCACTTATATATATTTATATGCATTATCTAATTATTCTGTCATATTTGTAATATCATTTATTACATTGATATTTAATAAAAAATACAGTATAAATTTAAACCAGTATTAATTTAACACCAGGCATGACCTGTGGTTGTAATAGTGAGCTGGATTTATGACCATTTTACCAGTGCTAAATTTGGGCTAACGAAGAAGGGGGAAGGTTGCAGAGATGGGGTAACAAATCAATGGACGTGCTCAGACAAAAAGCAGAAACCAGAAAACCCAGCAGGTCAGTGGTTTGGGTGAAGTTTTTAGTGCTTGGAAGGAAAAACTCTGCAACAGGGGCAGAAATTCCTCTTTATCTCAAGTGCTGAACCCCTCGGGGACAGGAGCTGAGCTCCGGCCGTGCTGCCAAAACGAGGGCACTTGGGAAAAGCCTGTGAAGAACAGGCAGGTTTAAGTGAACAATGTGTATGAACCAGACCTATCTTCGCATGCACAATGCTCACATTTTGTGGGTATTTGCACACTAAAGCATAAAACTGTAGCCACGTGTTTCTAAGTGTGGCCATGGAAATTCTAGCGCCTGTTTTTTGCAAAATCATTTCCACGTTCCCCACTCTGTGTCTCTGAGCTGTTTGAGTTGGTGTGGAGCTGAAATCAGAGCTATCTGTTGGCCTCTGTGTGTTTTTAACACTGATTGAGGATAAACTCTAACTTGCCAAGTCACAAATTTGTGACTAAGAAGGAAGTGCAGACTTTCTGAATCGTTTGTGAATTCCCCTAGTCATAAGAATTGTGGAATACCTCAAGTTGGAAGGGGCCCATAAGGAACACCAAGTCCAACTCCCTACCCCTTGCAGGATGTCATTCCCCTCGCTCATCTTGGGCTCATGTGCTACTCCACATCCTCGTGACTCTGGTGTTGTGGGTGAACCGAGAGTTCTTGGCCCGGGCTTTGCGCTGGACAAGCCCAGAACGGAACTTTTCCCGAGGAAATTCCTTTGTCAGGGTACCATAAAGGCTCGGCTCTAAAACAGTTTGGCCAAGGGCAGGGGTGTTACCTTGAGGGAGCTGTTGTTTGCCCGTGGTGTGAAATGGAGGCGCTCGGACAGAGGCTCCGCGGAATTCCGTTGGGATCCGCGCGGGGCAGAGCCGTTCGCGCCCGGCCCAGGAAATCGGCTACCAGGAGGGAGAGAGAAAGGGCAGTTCCTCTCCGAGGAGAAACTTGTCCTATCTCTGAGTGTCCTGCGCAGAATGTTTACAAAACGCTCATTAAGGCAGAGGGGATTGCGAGATAGCAACAAATCTGGTGAGCAGCTCACGCTGCCCGAGATAAGGGAGGCAAGGCGGCCATAGCAGGGAGCAAGTCAGATCCAATTACCAGGCCCTGGTCTTGGGGAGGGGGAAGGGGGAGACAGACAGGACGGATCACAAGTTTCCAAGACAAGAGCTTCCAAACTTGTCATGTCTGTGTGACACGAGCCGCGTACGACCCAGGGGATAAAACGGCCACTTAGCCCGCACGAGAGCCAGAGCCCGTTGGGGTTGGAGGCTCAAGCGAAGCCATGGATTCCATAGCGCTCCAGCTCTGGGCTGTCCTCTCCCTCCTGGTTCACCTGGCTGCCTGCAGTCCCATCCTGAGCCTGGAGCACTCCTCCCTGGAGGAAGACGCGCCTCTTTTCGACGAGATCCTCTCCGAGCAGGATGGGGTTGATTTCAACACGCTGCTCCAGAATATGAAGAACGAGTTCTTGAAGACCTTGAACCTCTCTGACATTCCCCTGCACGAGTCGGCCAAGGTGGACCCGCCAGAGTACATGCTAGAGCTGTACAACAGGTTTGCCACCGACAGGACATCGATGCCTTCCGCAAACATCATCAGGAGCTTCAAAAATGAAGGTAAGAAATGTGCATTACTGGGAGAAGAGGATAGAAATGAGCGTCTTTAGAGCCAGAGGGGGATGTCTTGAGCAGTCACTGAGCGTGAGCTGAGCTGGGGAAAAAGGCCTTTAGGTGAGGATGGTCTTGGAAATCAGCAGTTGGCACTGGGTGTGACAGGGTTGCCCAGGTCCCACATCCTGCGGGACAGGTCCCTTGTCCTTTGCTCTGGAGACTGCAAGGTTTCGGGGGAAAATATGCCTTTAATGTTTGGGCAGCACCACATATAATTTTGGTGCATCATTTTCCTTATCCCCATAATGACACATCATTTGCAATTACCTGGTTAATTTTTCAAATGGGTACCTTCAGGGATATTTGAAATGAAGGCAAGAGATGTTTTTACACACTGTTCAGGGGTGCAATATTTTCATATCATCAGCTTGACCAAATGGATTTTCTGTTAATATCCCCTCACTGTTGATCCCTGGGGTGTTTGCAAAGGTTTCTTGCCTTGGCATTGGAGCACAGCCCAGCAGATACATAGAAATATGGGAAGTGGAATTTTGGATAACCCTTAGGCTTTACTTTGGAGGACCAAAGTATTTCCTAATAAAAAGAAGCAAACAAACAAGCAAACAGAATCTGAAGAAGTCTAATTGCCATTCCCTCTCCGTTTTCCCTTCATCATTCCCTCTCCGTTTTCCTTCATCATTCCCTCACAGATCAACAAGGATGAGATAATTCTTCAGTACTAACAATCAGTATTTTGTCATTGCCTTTTTACAGCAACACAGGTTTTATGTTAAAAATATTTTTCAACTAGACAGTTCCAAATTCCCATTACTCCACTTGAGGGTTGTTCTCTTCTCAGTTTGCACTGCTCGGAAAAAAATAATGGGATTAAAAAGAAAATACCAAGTACAATATGGTGAAGAAAAATAGTTTAGTGGCATAAACCTGAAATCATTCCACCTGCAAAAGCAAAATGCAGGTTTGCAGCACCGAAATGGCACAGACTGACCTCTGGCAGCATTACAGGTGGGGTCGGCAGCTCTGTGCCTGTTTCATTGCTGCAGAAGTTCTGCACCAGGTGGGGGAAATTTGGCCTGAACTTCTGCCATTTCAGTGTTTCTCTCTCCCCTCTTGCCATCCAAACCAGACAGGCTGCTGATGTTAACACAGCTGCATAACTACACACGGTTAAAGGACTATGCAGGTAACGTTTGCTGCGTGTCCTCAGAGTCTGTGTAACTGAGAACCATCCACTTCATGCTAAAGAGCTCTTCTGATAGAGGGATTCATTATTTGGGATGGTAAGGACAGGAGAAACAGACCATGACATTTTTATTGTTTCCTTTCCTGCTGAAAATTGGCAGTAATGGTAGTTTCATGCTTTTCCATCAAATCCTTTCTTATAGAAATATAACAGGCTGCATGGCTGGAGTTAGCTCTTTGTTTTAAACCATGGACCATAAAGTGGTAAATGGGACTGTAATCAGTTCTCAATACCTGATTAAAAGCCCTAAGGGAAAATTTTATTTTCCTGCAGACTCCAAATCTTCCTTCCTGACGCTCCTAGGGGTGTAGTGGGAACAGCAGGAGATCTTTCACCCTATGGACTTTCTAGCTGAAGAGCAGAGTCACAACCTGGCTTAGAGAGGATCATCTGTCCTGCCCTGCTAAGGCTCACTCAGCTCCTTGCACATGGTGTGGCCTTCCCCTTCCTCCTGGTGAATTCCCTGTGCTCATCTCCCATATGATCAAGTGGCATTTCCCCACCCTGGCTTTATTTGGAGGCCTTGTTTTAGCATATTGAGGTCTAGGAAAGCCCCAAAGATTACTTCCAGCACAGAGATCGTAGTTCTTCTTGTATAACATTATCTTTAGCTCCCAGTCTGCTCCTGTTCACCACCTTTACCAACTGACATGCAGGGAAATGGAAGCAGAATCAACCCTCATTTTTTTGGTTACTAACAGATGAAAGTGCAGAATGGAAAAAAAAAAATAAAAAGTGAAAAGGCAGGTGCCTCAAAACCTCAAAACTGGAATTAAGCAGGACAAGTCACGTGCTGAAGTTAATTAACTGCTTGCCTAAATGCACCAGTGGAGCGTGGTCAGTACGTGCAGCTTTATCAGTGCCAGTTTTCTACAAGCATATGAAAAATGGAGTAGTCAGAGATGAAGAGAGTGATAGGTCACAAGTACAAGTAGTTTGCCTTTGTAGAAATGACAGTCTCTGTGGCCTGGTGTGATTTCTGGGGAGGCAGCAAATCCCCCCAGGGAGCCACTCCCTGCACTGGGAGATGCAGGGACCAGAAATGCACCAGGCACAGACAGGACAGGCAGATACTGCACTTCTTACATGTTTTTTATCAACTAAAGCTGCCCTGAGGACCTGGCTGAGTGCCCTGCTGGACTGCTCCCCTGGAGCCCACTGGCTCAGTGGCAGGACTGATGCTCCAGAGGGTCACACTGGGGATTCACCACCTGCTCCTCCCAACCAGGAGCCTTTACATCTCTCAGAGCAACTTTTCCTCCACCAGTGCTTGGCCTTTGCAGTGTCTGAGGGATCTCTGAGCAGCAGGGAACACTTGTTACCTCAGAAACACTGAGCAGACACAGATTATTGCAGCTTATACTTCTCATGTTCACTCCAGTCCTCCCTTCCTCTTACACTGAAGACATTTTTCCTCATTTATTAGATAATTGCTGTGCAGCAACCTAAGAGTGATTTGTATTTCAGTATTAGGCCACACATTTTCAATATGTAACCCTTCCAGTTGGGAAGGAAGTCCTTGGAAGGGCTGGGGGTAAAAGGAGAATCTCTAAATCCAGGTTTATGGTCTGTTAGCATCTCTGGGATCTTGCTGTTCTTTGACATCTCAAATAAAGTTGACTTTTTTCCAAATACAGTTTTGGGAAGTGCTGAAAAAAAAAAAAAAAACAACAAACACTTTCCTGGAGCTGTTCAGCTGAAACCAAGGGATGGCAAACATGTGGGATGAACCTCAGTGCGTGTGTTTCTGGATGTACCGACATCCTTCTGAACCCTCTGATCTTTGTCCCTTCCAGACTTGGATTCCCACCCTACTGGTGTCACCGGGACCCGGAAATACCCTCTCCTCTTCAACGTCTCCATCCCTCACCACGAGGAGATCACCATGGCCGAGCTGAGGCTCTACACCCTGGTGGAGCGGGACCAGATGCTCTACGAGGGGCTGGACAGGAAGGTCACCATTTTTGAGGTGCTGGAGAACGTCCCCGGCGGGGCAGGGGAAGAGCCGAAGCTGATGGCCCTGGCATCCCGGCACGTCTACGGCACCAGCAGCGAGTGGGAGAGCTTTGAGGTCACCGAGGCCATCCGGCGCTGGAGGAGGGCCGGGCTGACCACGCACCGGCTGGAAGTTCACATCGAGAGCAGGGAAGGGGAGGAGCGGGACGGGGAGGGGAAGCTCGACATCGACATCAACTCCGAGGCCAAGCACGTGCCCCTGCTGGTCGTGTACTCCGACGACCAGAGCAACGACAAGAAGGAGGAGAAGGAAGAGCTGAACGAGATGATAGACCACGAGCAGCTCGTGGACCTGGAGCAGCTGGAGGTCGGGCACTTCCACGACCAGCCCGGCGAGGAGGCGCTGCTGCAGATGCGCTCCAACATCATCTACGACTCCACCGCCCGGATCCGCAGGAACGCCAAGGGCAACTACTGCAAAAAGACCCCGCTCTACATCGACTTCAAGGAGATTGGCTGGGATTCCTGGATCATCGCCCCGGCGGGGTACGAAGCCTACGAGTGCCACGGAGTGTGCTCCTACCCCTTGACGGAGCACGTCACGCCCACGAAGCACGCCATAGTCAAGACTTTGGTTCACCTGAAGAACCCCCAGAAAGCCTCCAAGGCCTGCTGCGTGCCCACCAAACTCGACCCCATCTCCATTCTCTACTTGGATGCAGGGGTGGTCACCTACAAGTTCAAATACGAGGGCATGGTGGTCTCGGAGTGTGGCTGCAGATAGTAGGAGGGAAGGCACAGGGGAGGGCACAGGGGGAGTATTTAATGATTCAGTCTGTAAATTTGTACATTTCGGATTTGCTATTTAATGAGGTTATTTAATGAGGCATGTACAGATAATTGTGTGCTTCCTGTTCTGGGGAACGGGCAAGTCGTACGAGCGCAGGGATTGTATATTTTGGTCCATTGCTTCCTTCTTGCTGTTCTTCGCTGTCCAAGTGATGACCGAGTCCCTCCTCCCATCAGGGCATGGAGCAGATGGTTTGGATTGTCTGGGAGAGCTCTTCGTGCCAAAGGGGCACATTGAAATCCTCAGAAATAAAGGCATATTTTTGTATTTTGTCAATGTTCATTGGCATCTGCAGGGCTGTTAAAGATAGGTGAGCCGTGGCCAGTCACATCTAGATTGTTCAGTTTTCTGTAAAATCTTTATTAAGATCTTTACATGCTCAGTTTTTTAAATTTAATCTCTGCAGATCTTATTCTGTCTCTGATCATTCTGAACCACCACAGGCACAACAAGATGTTAGACTTTTTTCCCTTTTTCTTATTCCTTTCCCTGTCACAGTTTAAAGTAACTAGCAGGGATGATTTGGCATCTGGAGCTGAAGGGAACCATTCCCTTTCCCACTTTTCTCAGGAAAACAAAGGGCCCAGGAGCAGTGCCAGGCGTGGGCCATGGCAAGAAATTCCCCCTGTGCAGGTTTAGTCCCAAACCACTGTGTGTAAACTCTGGTTTTGCTGTGGTGGCCACGGCTTGTCTCCCAAGGGCCAGAGCTTTGAGTGGCAGAAAGAGGTGCTGAACATTTCCTGAATCCCTGAAGTTGCATCCCCTAAAATTGCCCTTGAAATTTATCCCAGCTAAGAAGGAATTCATCCCCCTACGCAGGGCAGTGAATTCCAGATGATACAGCCACGTCATCCCACTCAAATGGCCGAGGAGCGTTGCACCAAATCTGCACAGAGCAGGGCAGAACAGCAAACCCCAGTGGGACAGGGAGGATCTTCCCTTTCTGGGAGTGCTGGAGCTGTCAATTCATAAGGATGTTGCCCCCCTCCCCAAACCAGAGAGAAGGAGTCACATGCCATGTTTCTGCCACTCCCCCTAGACAAATCCTGGTGATAAGGAGGTGTCGGAGCTGAGAAACAATAGACCCGTCACTTTATTTATACTAAGCTGCAAATTTGTCAGATTCTTGGGAAAGTGTAAGTGATGTTGACTCTTTTAGCCCGTACCAGAGCCTAGTGTACTGTCCCTGCATCTGTTTTACACTTTTAAGGGAAAGTTATCTTCCCTGGAAGTGATAAGGGTCTTCGAAAGAATCACTCCAACACTCCATGGGAATGAACACAAAAGACTTTATCATGCACCAGCTAAACCCAATTTCACCTATTTTCACACATACTCTTCTGTGCTTCCCATAATTTATTGACCTATTTATTGACTGCCTGCCTTTGTAATATAATGTAGAATACAGAATGTTTTATTTTTGTGCTGGTGTGTAATCCCACTTGGATAAAACCTTGTACTGATCCTACTTGACGTGAAATCTCTCTCTGTTGGGCTGTGCTGCACAAGAGGTTGGGGCTGCTGATTTATCTCCTCCCCTAGATATTGGTAAATCCCACAGGCCCCAGTTTCCTCCCTGCAGGGATTTCAGGAGCCTTCTGGAGCACATTTGGTCTTGTCCAGCGGGTGACTCCTCTTGCAGGGGTATCACGGCTTTAAGTGCCCAGCTGTGTAGTTTATTGTAGAGTTATGCAGTCTCCACTCATGCTGCCTGTTCCCAGATAGTTATATTGCTTTATTCCTCACCCCTGAGAGTGACTGACACCGCTCCCAGACCTTTCCCCCGAGCCACTCTGCAATCTGGGCCTGTGGTTGATGGCGCGCTGGAGGAATGCGCGAGAGGTGTGATGTTTGCTCTGCTGACATGAACTGCAGCAGCCAGCGGTTGAAGTGTGACCACACAGACCCTTTCAAAACCATCCACGATTCTTATGAAGCCATTTGCCAAGACAAGCCATTCACCTTGTTAGGAGTGATAATCCAGCATTAGGGAGATAATCCGACATTTGCTTTTATCATCTCTTTTCTGCGACCGATCCCGTGGCAGTGATTTGCTTTTGGCACCACTGTCCTTTCCTGACAGCACCAACATCTCTGAACAGGAGGTTGTACCTTAAAAATAATATGTAACCCACTGTAATTGCCCATAATCACTATAAATTTTTTTGAGTAAAAACCCACCTCCCTTTTCCCTTGCCTTTGGACATACAAAGGCATTTGTTGGATGTTGGGGCAGTTGATGGCAGAGATCAGAGAAAATGCCACCAAAAAGAAATGGGGGGCAGTTATTTTATAAAGAGTGGCACGTTGAGGTTGTTTCTGCAAGCTCAGAAGTGCTTGGGCTTTAAATGCCCCTGTCCAAATAGACATGACACTCACAAATAACATGGTGAGTGTGTGACAAGAGCCAGGGCTCAGCTGGGAGTGCTGCTAATGTCAGGACTCCCTGGAAAAATGTTCCAAGCCCCTGAAAAAAAAATATTCCACTGCATGTTTTCGTTTCCTTTGTTTCCTTACCCCTTCCTTCCATCCATCTACATTAATACTGTGACTTCTGTTTCTAAAAAACCTCATTTGTCACATTAAATACTGGTGTGCATTGATTTTTCCTTTCATCTCTGGTCTATTTCGTATTGACCTCTTAGCAGATGTTTGATTTTAATCTTAAATTGCATCTGAATTTTAGAAAGGTTTGGAAAAATACTGAAGTATCTGTCTTACCATCCATCCATCCATCCATCCATCCATCCATCCATCCATCCATCACTGTGCCCTGCCAGGTGAGCTGGAGCTGAGGACAGGAGGATGAACCTCCCCAAAAACCGAGGTCACTTAGGGAAAATCATCTCCTAAAGAAACCATCACCCAAAGCAGCAGCCAGAACTTATTCCCAACTTCTCCTCCCAAGCAGCAGCAGCTGCACTGCCCTCCCTGGGCTGCTCAAAGCAAGCCAGAGCCTCCAGCAGTGTAGAAATACCAAAGGATCACGCAGTTTTTGCCAGCCCTGGGCAGTTTTGGTGCCTGGGTCACCTACAGGGAGAGGTGCAGTTTGGTATTTTCTGTGAAACACACTGAGCCACAAAAATCTATTCATTTTTAGGGGGGGGGAAAAAAACAAAACAGGAAGATTTCCTGGCACTTGAACATCTGCTGTGAGTGTTTGAAAAACTACAGCCCAGTGTTAATTTAAACTTCCTCAGGACCCGGTTCAACATTTGGAGTGCAAACACAGCTAATAGGATGGGAACCAGGGGGATGGTGGATTGCTTACTATATTGGGAAACAAAACCAGAACAAAACCAGCTTGAGATAGAGCTTTTGTTTATACTGCTGACCCATCTGTCTTCATTAATGCACTATTTACAGGAAAAGTTAAAAAATTAGCTTCTGCTCCTTCTTCAATTGCAGCAGCAACAAATAAAAGGCTGAACGGTTCATTTGCCCTCGACTAAAAATGGAAATTCTTATCAGTGCCCCTTGGAAGAAGAGGTTTATTATGTGGAGAGCATTATTGTTGGATATTAGTGCTGGGAGCAGGCATTTTGGCCAGAGCTGTGTGTTTCTAGCACAGGCAGTGTCAGGAGTGCAGAGCACAGGGAGCTGCTTCTGCTCACAGAAAGCACAAACCAGCCACAAAACACGACCCTCATCGTAGTCCAAGCTCCTGCTTTGAAGTTAAAAGGAGAAATAATGAGGCTTTTCCTCCTGTTTTGACCTGCTTAGGTGTGATTTCCCTGGGTGTGGAACGAGACAGATTTGAGGGAAAGCCTTGGCATGACACAGGAATGACCCAAGGTGTGCCTGGCACTGACACTGGATAAGGGGAGGAGGTGACACCTCTTTCTCTTCCCTGCAGGTAAAGGAACAACACAGATGCACTCGAATTTCTGGAGTTTAAATGTCTGAATTAGCACAGACAAAAGCCCCCAGAATGTGTCTGCCTGGAACATCCTCCAGAAACAAGGGGCAGGTTTGTGACAGCCTGGTCTGAAGCTGCTGTCAGGGCTGCTCACACCTTCAGTTGGCAGAGCTGAAACCCAAAGAGGAGCTGAGGTGATGGCCCAGCACCCCTGGACATTCCCAGAGAAAACAGACCTGCTGCTCTGCAAAGGAACTTGGAATCACAGAATCCCAGAATGGTTTGGGATGGAAGGGACCTTAAAGCTCATCCAGTTCCACCTCAAGGGCAGGGATGCCTCCCACTAGCCCAGGTTGCTCCAACCCCATCCAACCTGGCCTTGGACACTTCCAGGGATCCAGGAGCAGCCACAGCTTCTCTGGGCAAGCTGTGCCAGGGCCTGCCCACCCTCCCAGGGAGGAATTTCTTTCTAGTACCTATAAATATATTGGGAAGATTTGGAAGACTTCTTTAAAAGCTTCTTAACAGGAATAAAAAGCAAATTTTTGCCCTACGAGCCCACTGAAAAAAGAGACACCCACTGAAAAATCAAACCCAGACCACAAAGGCAGCGACTTCCAAAGGCAGGAGGTTAATCAGAGTCAACAAGGATGGGCTTTGGAATGACCTCACAGCCCCAGGGAGTATTTTGGGGACAAATCTGGCTGCTGGGTGTCTTGGCTCCCTCTCCTTCCTCCCCTTCCCCTCCTGGCTCTCCCCCTCCCCTCTGCCCCTCCCCATCCCAGGCACGCTCCGGGTGCTGTCCCTCGGTCTGGGGAACGGGACTGGAGGCACGTCCGTGTCTGCTCCTCAGGCAGGAGCAGCTTCCTGGAGAGGGGCAGGGCCGTGGAGAGCAGTGGAAGGAGCAGCCCTTGGAGCTGCTGCTTCTTTCCCCTGATGAAAGTGGAGAGAACGGTCCACCTTTCGGTACCCTTGTCAAGAAGATGAATCGTGGAAGGGGGTCCAACTCTCCCTGCTCCTCTCTGGACTCCTCCTGCAGCAACTGAGGGGTTTTCCTCTCAGATGCAACCCAGTAAATCCCAATTCACCCTCCTGCCCCTCAGGGAGTCACTTCAGATGTCAGTGAGAGCTGAGCTGGAGCTGATGATGAGCTGAGAAAGTTTCTCCTTCAAACCCCGACCCACCACACAACATTGCTGGCAGGACTCAGTGGGATATGGGTGTGTTCTCCCTGAAAACTGAGGTACTGCTTGGGGCAGATAATGCCAGAGAATACAGAAGAGCTTTGCAAACATCTCTACTGCAAAATATCCTGCAAAAACAGCCAGCTCAGGGCAAAAGAGCTCCCGCTGGGAACAGGAAATTCGCTTGTTTTCTGCTGTTGGTACATGCCCATCCCAAACTGATCCACCTCCTGCTCAGCATTCCAAGGGCTTAGCAGGACTTTTGACTGCGTTTTTTTAAGTAAACAAAGAAAATATGAGGGATAAAAGCAGTCAACATGTCGGCAATAAAGGAAATTATATGAGAAGAGTGGATTGCCGTGACAGGGAGCAGTGCTTCCTGAAAAGAAGGGGGGTCCCTACCTCCAAATATCACACTTTCTGTGAAGGCCAACGAAGACAACAGGCTGTATTTTATTTTAGATGGGCAGCTGCAGGACCATTAATTCAGTATTAACACGACTGTTTTGCAGGAGCTGCTGTCACTCGTATCTGCAGCAGCTTCAGGCTGAGGGGATGCTCTTGCAGCACCAGAGCTCCCCAAACAATGTCCTTCAGCCCCGTGTGACTGAGGCTGTCCAGGCTGGGAGCTTCAGATGGTGTTGAAAATATATGTGTTGAGTTAAGTGAGAAGGTTTAAATACAGGGTGGTCTCTGAAATCAAGTACAGTAGCTGACTAGCAACAGGGGCTAAACAACAGCCCAGCCTTCCAGAGCTCAGGTTTATGTTGGCTTTGCTGTAGCAACTCCTTATCTCCCCAGAGATTAGAGCAGCTCAGATCAGTTGTTGTGAGATTTGGTGGAATCCGTTTCCTGAGCTGTCACCGCTGGCTAATCAGGAGAGTGGGAAAGCAAAGCTGCAAAACTGCAGAGCTGATGGGGCTCTGCTTGCTTTCATCATCGCCAGGTTTTAGGTTATTTATAAAATTTGGGTGAAAATAAATTTGGGTTAAATGTATGGAGGAAATTTCCCCCTCTGAGGGTGGTCAGGCCCTGGCACAGGTTAGGCAGAGGAGCTGTGGCTGCCCCTGGATCCCTGGAAGTGTCCAAGGCCAGGTTGGAGCAACCTGGGCAGGTGGAAGGTGTCCCTGCCCCTGGGGCGGAACTGGATGAGCTTTAAGGTCCCTTCCATCCCAAACCATTCTGTGATTCCACGATTTTGGATGCCCAGCTCCACATCCTGGCCCAGAGAAGCCTCCACCCAGCCTGACCCATGAGCCAGCTGAGCTGCAGCAGAGCACACGTCGTGCTGCAGGAACGATGAGCCCTTTCACCAGCTCTAAAGCACTGGGAGCTGGGATCACCAGCTAGCCATTGCTCACTGTGCCCCCCAGCAGATCCACTCCCTGAATTCCCCCTGGGTTCAAATGACAGTGGGGATCCACAGCATGAGTCCCACAGCATTTGGAGACTCCTGGGCTGATGCAGCTGTTGAAAGAGCTGAAGGGATTTGATTCTGCCTTAGGGCAGTTGGTCGCTGCTGAGAGGGACACAAACATTGTGCAAATACAACCTGCTATCCAAAACTTCCCTCAGAGCTTTGTACCAGTGTTGAAGTTGTTCTGGCAGGGAAAGCAATGTCCTTTCATCCACAGCTGCTTTCCTTGCTGAGCTCCCTCCTTTTCCCTCAGGATTTCTCCAGCTCACAGGGTTTCTTGTTCTTTCCCACTCCTCTTGCCCATCGACAACTTGCACCAGCTGCAAATTCGGCCCAATAATATTGATTGCATGTCTTGTGCTTCCTCTGTGCACCCTAATTAGCGGGTTTGAGATAAGCCCCGTGCCCTGGGCAGGAGTTAATGGCAGGGGAGCAGAGCAGCCCATGCTTGGCAGGGCAAGTGTCCTTCCTGAGGGGCTGCCACACACCAGCCCCCCTGACTCTGCTCAGGGCACTGCCTGCAGCACTAATGAGCTCCAGGGCAGGCAAACTGTTTAGACAAGGGCCTCAGGGAGCTGCATTAACCCCTGCTCAGACTGCAAGAGAGAGGAGTGACTTTTAAGGCAGAGTGCTGTGGTCGGCACACACAGGGGTGAGCGGCCTTTGGGACACAAAACACCTCTGGGAGTGAACAACTGCACCTTTGCCTTCACTCCCAGCTGCTCTTCTGTCAATCAGCATCCTCCTTCTGCATCGTTCTTCTCAGGGAAGGAACCAGTGTCCTCACCAGCAGCACCAGTGTGGTCAACGCTTCTGCCTCAAAGCTCCAGCCCCAGGTTAATAAAATGAAGGTCACCTGGCGAGGCTGGAGAACAAGTTGTTACCACAAACGTTTATAGATTGGGTTGATTTATTTATGGAACGGGATTCAGGTCTCCCAAGACTTGGTCTGGCTCTGCCTCTTGTGTGCCCTGCAAACATTTTCAAAAGGATTCGTTATTTCTGTGCTGCATTTTGGAAAGTAAATCCCTGTGACCTCCCTGGCCTGCCCTTCACCGGGACTGAAGGCTGAATTAGTCTGGTTTGAAGGGTGGGTGCTGAGCTCCCTGCTGCACTCTCTGCCTGGTGCAGGGTCACCTCCACAGGGCTCCTCGCTCTGGTGTTGAAGCTAAAAGAGGGTGGGGAGGTCAGGCAGGAGAAGCAAAAGCACTCTGACCCTCACCAGGGTGCTGAAACCGCCGCAGGTGCAGAGCACATCAAAGCTCCCTCTCCCCCTTGGGTGGGATGGGAGGAAGCTTC